ATATTCAGTGGCCCTGCTCGAAAAGGGAGCTAGCCGGCAGGCGGATTTTCGACCGCGCAATTTTCCCAGATCGCGTGGTTCTCGGAGAGGTGTTCTTCTGCTCCATGAAAAGGAGGTAGTCCGCCGGTTGGTGGTGCGCGGGCTCGATCCCTGTGTCTGGTACTCAGTAGTCCGCCACCTAAACCGACTGGGCTAGCCCTTACTTATGTATAGGTAGGGACACCACTTTTATGTGAGTGGCTGCGCCAGGCGCATTCTCGCTTTCCGAAAATGGAGCCAGCCTGGTTGGAGTCGCGCGGGCTTGATCCCTGCATCCGTTATTTAGTAGCTCGCCACCCAAACCGACTGGGGTGGCCTTTACCACTGTGTGGGAAGGGGTACCACTTCTGTATGAGTGGTTGCGCCAGGCGCAACGCCAGCAACCCGTGGCATCCCCCCCCCCCCACATTTTACACCACTCACCCACCCTCCGAGCCTAGCAGCGTAGGGTGGTAGGTAGGTATGGCGTAGGCGCGGGGTTAGGCTTATAGAAATTCTAAAAGGGTATATTCTCGCGGGTAACTTTCCGTAGGTTATTTTTCAACTCCAACCCTTAGTTTTCCCCGTTATCACGCTGCCTTCAGACCATTGTCCAGCGCGACCGTCTTCAACTGCCGAGCTCAGAATCGCGTGGCCTATCGACCGCGCGACCCCATTCTCTTTAGGTTGTCGCGCATTGTCCTAGCGGTAGGAACATCGGGGAATAATTGATCCCGACGTGCCTATCTTTGCGGCTCCTTCTCATATCACATGAACACCCATTCTGCCTTAATTAAATGGCATGGCGCGCACACACACGACATAGGAGCAGAGTTGAGTCCTATAGGGGTTGCGGTAGGGTAGGTTCTTTTCCGATAGTCTTTTCGGATAGGCCTTTAATTCGAGCGCCTCTTTCTTAGACTTTCCCCCTTTCTCCTATGTCGCAGTCATGCTTCAGGTATTTCTTACGTTGGTCCTTTCTTCCGATGGACCCTGAATTGCGCGGCCGATGGGCCACACCGCGACCTTTTGTTCAGGTCGTAGTGCGTCGTTCTGATGGTGGGGGCGAGGGGGAATGGTAGCCCCGACGTCCCCGTCGTCTCGGCTTCCTTCCTTTAGTAGTTTCCGTCGCGGTATGCCTTGGTAGCATCAATTGCCCTTCCTACAGCCACTTGGGTGCCCAACCCTAGAGTTTGAGTAACAGATTTGGAAGAGACAGATGCGGGGTCAATACACGACAAGAAAAGAAATGTAAATATGTCCAGGGGGTTGAGATACCAATGAAATCTTTTGCCGCGCCGCGGCGGATTATCTTTACTTTGTCTTTTACTCGCTTACCGACGCCCTGTCATCTTACGGATAGAACGGCGCCTTCCCGCAAGCCGTCAAAATGCCGGCAGATACCCTTGTAAGGGATTCTGCCCCGACAGTCATCCCGGATCCCATTAAACGACGTCCTCGTCGTTTAGGATTTATACATAGGTAGATAATGCTGTGCGCGCTTTGGCGTTTCCAATCATATTGGTTGTAAGGTCTCTTAAAACACGCTTGTCCCTTATCCTAAAAGACGACCCATTTTGAATTCAAACATGCTTTCAGAATTTAACAACCAAACTGGATTCAGCCTCCAGAAGCACAAAATTTACAGGAACGGTACCAGTTTCAGCCTTTAGAAACATAAAACCAATTGAAAGTGTTTGTGGATGAAACCAAATTCAGCCATCGGCAGTCCAAAACACAGTCTTCTCATGATTTACTGGGTTCAGCCCCCAATCAGTCTCAAACAGTTACTGAAATGGCACCAGATTCAGCCTTTGGCTAGCCAAAAATTTCAGAACTTGGGATAATGTTCAGATTCTGCCTTTGGAAGCCCAAAACCAATTACTGAAATGGTACCAGACTCAGCCTCTGGCTAGCCAAATTCTTCGAACTTGGAAAAGTGTCCAGATTCACCCTATGGAAGCCTAAAACCAATGTGTCTTCCTCCAGAATGGTTCCAGTATCATCCCACCGGGGACCAGAACAACATCAGTCTCTTCGAGTGGTACCGGATGCAACCTCCGGCTAGTAAGCAATCGACATCCATCAAGTTGTTTGAATAGTTCACTTGGGGAAACATTCATTCACCGCCGGGATTCCAACTCGGGTCTCTCTTGAGCCATAGGGATGCAAACACCACACCTCGACACTCTTTCAATCGTGCCGCCAGGAATCCAACCTGGGCCTCCTATGTCCCACGAGGATACTGTCACTGTATTACGGTAATGGATGTCGGGGATGGGATAAACACTAAGGTCCCGAGTCTCCTATCAACCCCTTATCGAAGACTCATCTCGACCTCATCAAAACCCAAATGAGCCAGGTATAGCCCCTGACAAGCCTCCCATAATACAACCATCAGGAGTTGTCCAGATAACGTATGGACCCCACCCGTTTCGAGAAAAGTCATTCATCAGAAGTTCTTATTCCAAGTCCTCCCCCATTTCAACCTCAGAGAGAGGCAACATTTTCATCCAACACACACGTCCCAATTTGCATCCATAACAATTCAACAATATGAAGCTCTTAATCAATTAACTCATCCAATTTGCAAGAATGCAGCACCACAATACCAAAATAATGAGCAGGAATTTAAAATGAACGACCAATGTTCCTTTTAGAATTCCAAATTTGCACAGTACGGTCAAAGTACATCCAACTGATCTACTTTATTGGGTTCCAGCAGAAAATTTAATTGACAATGTCCAACATTTTTCATATCAAGCCAACTGAGTCAAAACATGGAGTCAAACAGAGTCACCAAGAGTTTTGACATATGTATACATATATAGTTATATATAATATAGGTATACACGTATGCCTTAAAATTATATCATGGTTCCAATCTGGTTTCCTCTCTAAGAACTGGGCAATCTCTAACCTTATGACCCGTTTTCTGACAGACGACACAGAAGGGAGGTCCCGATAATGGTGTCCCCTCTGTCCTCAAAGAGTTCGTTCTACCATTCGACCCAGACAGCGGAGGACTAAGAACCCTCCTCAACCTTGCTACGTTGTTCCGTGCTGAGTGCATTCCCTCTCTCTCGGGCTGAGGAATCGTCTTTGACAATCTTTGTCGGTATTTCATTGCTAGACATTATGATCCTATCTCTCTTGCTTCCAACAATTACGTCTTTCTGAGGTGCCGGCCTAGCAACCTTCATGAACTCCGACACTCCGTCTTTTATTTTCGCCTGCGACAAGCTTCCTTCCTTGATTACCAAGGATCCTGTGTTGTGAAGGTCTGCCCTCCAGAGATTTCCTCTGAGTACTTCTCGAGGCAGGCTCAACCACTTTCTCCTTCCCTTTTACCGAGGCTGTGGTTGGCTGCGACCCATAATATTTCCTTCCCTGTGCCCCTTTCAGGTGGGTAACACGACGATCCAACTCATCGAGCCATTCAATGATACTTGTCAGTAACTCTGTAATCGATGTGTTTCCGGCTCCAGCCTTGGTCTCTACAGGGGTGATTTGTATCATGGCTTGGTTGCTCTTTTCTTCCATACTTCCAAAGTTAAAGGTATCTCTCATGACCGCAATGAAGTCGGCCCAATTTCTTGACGCCTATGCAAAAATAGCAACAATGGGTCTCCAGTATTCGTCCGAGTACCGAGCCACTTGGTCTCTCATCTAATCCTCAGTCCATTGTTCCTTGTTAGCGAGTTTCGTGAAAAGATCAATGAATTCTTCCACATTATCCCCCATGAACTAAGGAACTCCCTTCTTTGAGCTACCAATCTCTCGGATAAGCGAGCGATCGCAACCCACACCATCTTCTGAACCTTGTCTTGGCGAGAGCTCGATGTCATCTCGAACTGTAGCTTCACTTCCCCTTTCCCTCCCTGTCGCCACAAGGATAGTCACAAAAGAAAGAAAGGAAACCCATCAGTTTTCACTGAAGGCACGACTCGATTGATTAAACAAATAATCACCAGACAATGATGCAGAAATGTATTCAACTTAGGCGAAAGCGTGTCGATCCTTACCTCATTTAGACCCTTTATATGAATTTCTTCAACTTCGATCCTGAAACCCAATCCCGTCTTCGAGGTCCGTTAAGTTCTTCGACCTCATACGCTCCGTGTTCCGATTTCTTGAGGATGCGATAGGGTCCCAACCACCTATTATCCAGCTTCCTCGACCATTGTTTCTCCAACGAAGAGTCATAGAGAAGGACAACATCACCGACTTCTAAGGGTTCCTTGTGGACCCGCGGCTGTGTGTCCCATCTCTCCTTGTCCGCCCTTCTACTTGCTACAGTCGAAGCGACGGCCTCTTCAATCCTTTCCTCCATGGCCATGATCTGTTTGACCCTCAGGTCGAGTAGCTCTTCCAATGTGAGGTTAGCCTCTAAGTCTTGCCTCTGCCACGTTGTCAGGAGACTCTCAATCGGAAAAGTTACGTGCCATCCAAACCAAAGAGTTGCCGGAGCATACCCAGTCGTCCTTTTTACGGTGATATTTTCAACGAACATTGCTGTCCGAAGGTACACCGGCCACCTAGAAGGCTTTCCAGCACACCACTTAGCCAACAAGTTTGTGAGGGTGGAGTGTCCCCGCTCAACCAGAGCGTTTGCCTGCGGATGCACCCTCGTGGTATATCGGTACTTCACGCCGAACCTCCCTAGGAGAGTTTGAACTTCTTTCGCTCGGAACTCACCACCGCGGTCCATTACGATTTCGCGGATGAAAGGATACCGAAGGTAGTATTCTTCGATACACTCAGTTAAAACCTTTTCGGTCCTTTCTCGTATTGCACAACCGTCGACGAACCCTGTCAGAATATCTCTTGCATCAAAGATAAACCGATACCCATTCATTCCTAGCGGTATAACCACCAAGTCGAGGTGCACCACGACTCCTGGTTCAACAACGTACCGTGGGTGAAGGGGTTTGACATACTCATGGTTGGAGCGTTCTTGACAAGGAACGCACGAGCTGCAGTAATCCGTAACCATTTTACTCATACCGTCCCAGAAATAAAGATGTCGTAACTTCTGGAGCGTCACTCAGGCCGAGCGATGCCCTCCTGCCATCCCGTCATGGAGAGCTGCAATCACGTTTAATTGCCTCGTCATTCCACAAACGACCCTTTTTGGGATGCCGTCTTCGTTTTTCTTAAATAGATGGCCGTACCTAACCACAAACTCTTCACTTTTTCGACGAATATCACCTTTTACACTTTTCTCGCGTACCTCCTTACTCAACCCTAATCCGATATCTCTATATATCCCATCGTACTCATTTCCTCTAAAGGACTTTTTCATCCCACCGTCCTCGTCAGCTGGTACCAATGCCCGCAAATCTTCCTCAATTAATGCGTTGATCACAAAACACGTCCCGCCAGATACTCTGAGGACCTCATCGGCATGTCGGAAACCTTCTTGAATTGACAAGGGGTCGTCCGACAACCGAACGGAGTCAGAGAGTGCGAGGCTCATCATCTGCTCACCGGACCTCTCACCCCATGGATCCTCCTCGATAAATAACTCTTTTTTCACCAGCTCAGGACGAACTTGATAAAAGTTGGGAGCGTTCCACATAGACCTCCTTTGTCGGCAAGATGCATCAACCAGATAATGGTAAGAATTTATACTTAGTTGACCTTCCTTGATCTCCAGAAATCCGTCAACAAGCATAGAGTCCTCTGGTCGAATCTTGGAGTTGTCCCAGTCGATTCTGCTTAGCCCGTCTGCTCGATTCTTCACGCCGGGTATCCTCTCAACTTCAAAATCGAACATCCAAATATAGGTAAGCCATCTTGCGATCGTCGGATCGGAAGGGGAATAATTTCTTAATGACTGAGCCAAGGCAGTCGGATCAACCCTCAGGACGAATCTTCGACCGAAAACATAATTGCGAAAAATTCTTAGGTAATGAAGCACCGCTAAAGTCTCTCTTTTGAACTGGGAATAGTTTCTCTCCGTGAGGTTGAGGGTTCTACTTTCAAACCTTAACGGACGCTCGACCCCGCTCTCGTCCTTTTGAATAAGGACCCCTCCTAGAGTCGTAGGTCCTGCATCGGTTTCAATAATGAATGGTCGCTCTGGGTCGTTATCGAAGCATGAAACCCCGAGCACCATTCCTCCCCAGCGAAACTCAGCCTCTATGTCCTCAACAACTTTTTGTTGATCTGGTCCCCATTCCCAATCTTGGCCCTTACGCACGCGTTTGCGTAAGTGCTCCACCCTTGCAGCAAAATGTTGGATGAAGATCCTCCAGAACCCACAAGTCCCGATAAAACTCCTTATCTCACTAACAGACTTAAGCGGAGTAGGCGACTCTAAGATCTTATTCGTTTTCTTGGTATCCGGTCGACGACCTTTCTTGTCGCATAGGAATCCCAAGATCGTAGCTTCACTCATGCAGTGTCTGGATTTTACTCCACTCGCCGTGAGATTATACTTCTTTAATTTAGAACTTTTTTGATGTCGTGAATGTGATCCCAAACGAACTTACGTATGCCTGGTTTCACTTCAGATTCATCCTTCTCCCTTGGTCCTGGAATCGACAAGTCATCGATATATGGTGAGGTCACGTCCGGACAAAGCGGTTGCATAACCTTCATCATATATCGTTGCACGATAGCGACGACATTAGTCCAACCTTGAGACGCGGAACACATGTGAACCAACCCCCTAGGTGTATGCATTGCCGTCATAGGTCTATCAACCGTGTATAAAGGAAACTGATCATAGCCAGAATAAAGATCAATCAAGGTTATGATGGGTCTACTGGCGCTAGCTTCAGACAATTGATCCGCGTTTGGAAGTCCACCGGCATTCCGGACCGTCATCGTGTTCAATCTCTGCAAGTCTTATACCCACCGTAAGACAATGTTAGGTTTGTCAAAACAAAACCATGGAGACGCATATGGTCCATAGGAGTAGTCGGCTACCTTCGTCTTGATTTTTCCATCTAGGTAGTCTACAACGTTCCGATGGTCATCCGGGTTAGGATAGCGTGGCCCCCTTATATTCCAAGGCTGGTGTGGTACTGTATGTATCCTAATCATCGGGATTTTATCAACGTAGAATCTTCCCCTCTCACCGCGACATCAATCATGAGGTTTCTCTCTTCTGTTGTCAGGAAACCCTCTTCTCCAATGATCATCTCCTTAATTCTTTCACCGGTCAAACGACACGACTCTCTTTCACATTTTTCTCTCATCGCCCTAATCCACTCTCTCTCCTCCTTGTAATACACTTCTTCGTCGTGGGTGACTAGAACGGGGAGAGGCTTGGCTTTGTCAGCTACTTTCTTATACCGCCGCTTTGATCCAACTCTAAGTCTCCCTCCTCTAAAAAAGACCCTTGCTTGGCTTGTGGGATCACACCTTCCCCACCAACTGACTGGGTGTGAGGTCAGTATGTTAAGAACATACTCCCCGTGCTACCACCTTCAAACACAATCTCAGTTAGTGTTTGTACAAGGTTTCGGTCGATCTCAGAGTGGGTTGAAACGAATTCCAAAGCCTGTGAAACATCGGGAAGAGCTAAGGAAAACTCCCTCGGGTTGTCCCCATCGTCCTCCCCATATGACTCTTGTTCTCTCACCAATTGTTCTGCTTCCTCGAAGCTAAAGGATTCTGGATTCAACCTGTTCCTCGAATTCTTAGGCCCGGTGTTCAAGCACTTGATCACCTCGAAGTGTCCACACACTGGATCGCACAGTATTATGAAAATTGTCTCATCATGCTTATTGATGATGATGGACTCCGATCGGCATAAGAATGATCGTCCCAACATCACCCCATGCTCAACCAGTGGCAACACGTAAAAATAAGACCGTACCTTTACCTTGCCGACCTGTACACTAACATTACTGGCAGTTCCACAGAAGGGCGTTGACCCTCCGGCGCAAACCAGAAATCCATTATCAGTGCGATCAAAATCAATCCCTAATTCTAGCGCCTCTTTTTCCCTTAGTATGTTCATCTCTGCTCCGGTGTCAACGAGCGCAAGATGTTGTGAAACACCTATCTTGACCATTACGTGTCCAGTCGCTATACACCTCCAATCCATCTTTGCTCCCGCAGGAGTCCAATTGGCCTCAGGTGGGATTACCTTCCCTAGTTTAACCGTCATCACTTTTCGTCGAGTTGGTCTTTGCTTAAGCTCTTCCCAAATCTTTGGCGAGACTGCCAAAAATTCCTTGAGTGTTACCAAATCTCGATGACTCTTAAGTATCTTATCCACCATCTTCTCAATGTCGATCCCTTCCTCAATCGGAATCGTGTACCGGTTCTTCTTCTTCTGGTACTCTTCCTCTTCTCCCTCATCCTTTTCCTTATCTTGATTCTCATCTAGACCTCGTTTCTGGGCGTGTAACCTTGCCTGACGCTCGTCCTCTACCCTTAATTTCTCATCTTCCGTGTCCAAGTCTTCTTCCACGATTACTACCGGCACCTCTTGTTGCGTCTTCGCACTGACAACGGGTGCGACTCGAGGTTGGATCCCCTTCTTAATCTTTTGTGCTTGAAGGACCACTGGTGACGTTCCTCTTCTGAGAACGGGCCTGTTCAAGACGGAACGCGTACCCGCAGAGGCCGTCTGAAGGTGGGACGATGACGGTTTCTCCGTACGTAATGCTGACAGAGCGCCGCCAAAAGAGCCATGCCCCTTCTCCCATCGTGTCCACTAAGCAGAAACATATTCGGCACGCCAGGCCAAACTCTTTCCATGTCGAGACCCAGTCTCATAACTTGGCTTCCAAATTCCTCTAAACCGCTTCTCGAGCTTGAGGCTTCTCGCACATCCCTTTCCTTTTCGGTCTTGCCCTTACTAACATCAAGCTTACTAACAATTGTATGGCGTGCAGCCTCTCTAGACTCAAGAATCTTCATTTCCTCTTTCGAGGTCAACCGGTAAGTGCAGGGCATGGTCCGGTTCATGCGCCGAAACGCTTCCTTCCTCATTCCTCCTTCTATGTATGAATCGATAAAGTTCCCTTCGAAATCGAACACCTCGCCTCGAATGTTCGTGTACACAATCCGATCCTCCTCATCTTTAGCGAGGGTCTGACAATATCGGACACCGTGCCCTCCTTGTGCGCAGTAGTTACAATTTCAATCCTTATTACCGTAACCGCGACCATCTGAAACTCCCCGACCACGTCCCCGACCTCCTCCGCCTTGCGGCCGAAATTGTCGGGGCTCGGTATCTTGAAATTGTCTTTGATGCTGATTGATAGTATCACAATTATCATTCCCATGACCACTCTTATTCTTGGATTGCTTTCCATTCGTACCTTACCCTCCCCGTGTTTGATTCATGGCCTTTCGTTCGGCCTTCGTCGCTTTCCAAGGAGATTCTTCTTCTTCTTACTTTTCACTATCTTCCTCGTCGGACTCTTCTTCCCTTTCTTTTCCTTTTCTCTTGCCGTCTTGTTGCCTCACCGTCAGTACCTTGCCACACAATCCCTCCTTCCTCATTTCTTTCATCATCATCCTAACATCCATAATCGCACTGAACATCTTCTTATCCTTATCACAACTCACTAACTCATCCTCCTGCATTTTCCTTTGATTGCGCAGGAGGTGATAGAGCATTTGGTCGAAGTCACCGACCTTAAGATTCTCCTTAATCTTATCCCAGTCGTACCTGGTAGTAAAACCCTTCATCAATTCTCTTTGCTCGACATCCGTGAAGTTGGTCAGAAAGATAATGCATTTCATTTTATCGGGAAGATCGGGAACCCTCTTAGCTACCTTCTCAAATCTTTTTAGGAACCCTTCGATCGTCCCAAATTTCTCCCTACTTACTTTACGAAGGTTAGAGACGTCCAACAATCCGTCTCCTAGCTGGTATTTTTCCAACATTCGTTCACGGAACGTTTTCCAGATTCGTGTCCTACACGCCATCTCGCCGACTTCTTCTGCAAGATCAACGTGCACATAGCATTTTACTACTTCCAACATCTTTCATTTAGTCCATTGACGCACATGAGCATTTAACTCATATTTTTCTAGCTAGTCTGTAACATTCTCCTGATGGAACAGAGGAACCTTGATTTTTGGAAACTTCTCATGTGACGTGGTGGTTTGCCGGATAAGCCTCGCGAATTCCTGAATGTCATTGCGCCTCTCGTCGCCCAGACTATCGTTCTCATCGAGATTGGGGCTCCCCATCTTGAGTGAAGTGTCAGGAGAAACAACGATCACAATCAGATACGCGAGTCATGAAAGATTTGTATCAAACTCATTGCATTATGCGGTTTCTGACCGATCGGGATGACCCATCCGTGTTAAGTCATTATTATCTCACACTCTCTCAGTCGTACTAGGGTCATTGTCACGATAATGCCACTTGTCCTTATGAGAGGAAACCAAATCACAACCGGACCGCTTAGTTAAATAATAATACAAGGTAATTATTCGGGATTACCTTACCCGAGTGTCGTTCCACCAGGGACAACGGTAGATAGCCGTCATCCTCGGCAACGGCGCCACCTGTCGGACGCAACGGCCCCCCTTCGCATCGTAGCGCATAAAGGGGGACCTCCCGACCGCATCACTCAGGAGTTTGATATCTTTATTTTTAGAGTCGGAATGCTTTCCCCAAAATTCATCGAGGTGAACAACGGGGTTTTGCCGCTCTAGCCGGGTGCATCAGTCGTACTTCTCGCATTTACCTACGACAGGTCAGGGTCCCGCGAGACACAACTCGTCTTCTCTGAGGAGTTGTAACCATCCTCAGATGCGTATCCCTACCGAACTGCTGATCTACATACGAAAGTTTTTACATGCAATCGCAGAGGTAAACTAGCCAGGGGCGTTTTGCTCGTTTCGCCATAGTACAGGCAATTCTTATAGGTGAATATAGAGCCGCTTTCCGGAAGATAGTATCATCGCAGCAGCAAACACACATGTGGGTTACATGAGACATTCAGACGTTACAATTAAACACGTGAACGTAAACAACTACGACACAAACAGATGTTGCTAACAACCATGCGAGAGTGGTAACCAGGTTACACGTAGATGTCGCATTAAAACACATGAGCGTTACAACCAAGCATTTTTGAAGTCGTTACCAAAAACACATACATGACGGCCAAAGCACATAGAGGATGCAAACGAAGACATACAAATGCATCCTGCATATACCGAATCATCCCAAAGGCGGAAATATGACGACAGAGAACACGCCTTTGTTTTCACTATCTCATAAAGTTGAAAGGAAAGTTTCCAAGAGCGTTCCACAATTGATGTATGTGAAAACTGACAAGAGGATCGCCTCCTCGATACCGTCGACAGTCACAACTTGCAGAGACAAGAACTTACTGAATCAAATTTGCAAAGACAACTCCACATCGTAGCGATATGCCCAAGGCACTGTCTATTATTTTTCCTGTGACTCCCTGTTATCCAACCCACTCGCATCCCTCCTAGTACAGGGGCTATCGCCTAACTGCGAGCGACCACCAATCTTAAATATATACAGAAGAAAATAACAATTTTTATGTGCCGCGTTCACCCTTCATCATGACACCAGCGAATTCATCGAGAGAAAAATGATAATCATAGGGGTAGGCTGGCCATGTTTTCTTGGTCGGCACAACTGAGTCTTATCATGTTTTAGCCCTCTCGAGGGCGAAGCCCGATGATCCGATCGTAGGAGTCTAACTCGCTACCCTCCGCTGGACGGTCCACTCTAGGGGAACCTATAGAGGGTGGACGACTCCTAGTGGCCGTAAATCGTGTGAGTCGCCCGAGCGCGTCTGTCTAGCCGGGTATGTCGCCGGATGAACGCCTCGTTAATCGCCATCCTCCGCACTCATCCTTGCCATCATAGTCGTAGGTCGCCCGTGCTGTAGAGTTCCACCATTCGTCGCGCCAATGTCAACAGGACGGACCAGAAAGGTTCACCGAGGCGCTTAAGGTGTCGGGCGGAAGTGTCTCGAAGCCAAAGGAACACCAGTCGCGCTCCGGATTGTCTGAAGAGTACTCCAGCGGTGACTCGAGAGACAAGCTCCATGTTCGAGACACGATGGAAATACAATGTATGCCCCTGCAACTCGTTCGGACGTCAAATCACGTTCGGTCGAATCTCCGGTCGCTCTTCCGGAAGAAACCCACGTCCGTCGTTGACGACTCCGACAAAGTCGAGCCATCGAGTCGGAGTCGCATCGAACACCATTGACATCCTCTCCGCCTAGGCGTTGCGGTCTGCATCGTTCGTATCTCGAACCAAGAGATACCAGGGGATCGTCAGGTCGTGCTGAGCTCCAATGATCCCGCATCACAAGGACCCATCATCAGATATGAAAGAGTTTTAGCAAATTCTCCTCCTGCCGCTGGAGAGCCTCATCGTCACATCTCTCCGCGACACGGAATCCGACCTCATACGGTCCCACGCGATCGTAATGCTCGATGTATATGAATGACCCCTGCCGAGCGTGGTGGTTCCTCATAATGCGCAGGGACAACCACATGATCTCGTCCTCGAACTTGCGGTGGATAGACTTGTTCACGACGTCGTAGACGACCCCGACGTCGAATCAATGCGTCTCCCTAAGGGGGCAGACGCCAACGCTTAGCACCAACTTCATGGCCGTTGTCACAAATGCATAAATCCGTGGCGGGTCCTCAAGGGTCCCTTGGTCCGTCCCTGAGCTCCACCTCGGTCGGAAAGACGTCCGCGGGATGGAAGACCATGCGGCCGACTCTCGCCCATCCTTGCCTAAATCCTCCCACGGCTACAGCAGACGCCCTTGCCTCCATCTTGCTTGGAAACAGCATGGTGGTGGCGACTGTCGCGACCCTTCGTCGGGAACTGCTCCAGGCGGCACCGCTTGCGGCGCCTGTGTTGTCTGCTACCCGCGCCCCCATTTCTCCGGCTGGCCGCCTCACTCCCTTTGCCAATATTCGGTACGATAGGCGATGCAGGCCACGACGAACCAACTTCCGTCGTCCTCTTAGAAAAGGAATCGGCGACACAAAAACCTTGTAGTGAAGTGAAGTATACGAGAAGCTGGGCTACTTATATAGAATGACGTCAAGCGTGTGCACGCTAAATGTAGGGTGATTCCTATCGCTACTTAGTCCCACAAGGCCCAGGGGGATTGGAAGCTACCCATCCTTCCGTGGTACTCCTCAAGCCAGACGAGGCTGCTAGGTGCACGCTCATCGGAGGTATTTCCTATGCGCCGGATAGTTCAGAAAAGAAGGCAAAAGAGTAAAATAGTGGAGCCTTGTCGACCCGTTTCGCCGTGTCCTAGAATTTTTGTCGCGAGTAATAGGTGAGGGTCGCTTCATAGTAATGTAATGGACGACCCACATCGTTGAATTCCTAATGCGGAGATCTCCTAACTGGACAAAGGAAGACAAAATCAATAACAAGATCCCTCCCTCGTGAGCCTCAATCGACCAAGGATCTTATGAACCGAAACAAAAAAAAACATTCGAGTTTTTCATAGGCGGAGCGTCTCATCCGCAAGACCCCAGTCCTCGTTGGACATACAAAGTTTTTGCTCACATGCCTGCTACAAAAGTACAAAGCCAAGACATATTCCAAGGGTAGGCAGGAACACTCGGGGTCAGACAACACTTCCCTTTTCACGTTTGAGCACACACAAACCAGCCTTTCTTTCTTTCAACTAAATATTCAAGGAAATAGAAATGGGGCAAGCAAAAGTGTGGTTTCACGTGGGGAGTGATGGGTCTGAGTCATTAACTGACCTTGAGTGAAGTGTCGCTGATGCCGACCGGCTCACCCAAAAAAGCCAAGTTGAAA